TGAAAATTCTGAATTTGATGTTCAGGAAATTTCAACACCTCACCAAATGAATGGTGGTGTGATTGTGGTCACTTCCAAGCTACTCACCTCCCATGTCATCATGTAATTGCAGTTTGTGCTTATTCTCATATACCACTAACCCAATATATTGATCCAGTGTACAGTCTTAACAACATTTACAAGGCATAGGAAGTATAATTTCACCCCATTCAAAATGAAGATTACTGATCTATGTATATTGGTCCAAACTTCACACCAGATCATCAAATGCGACGCAAGGCATCTATAAGACCAACTACGACTAGAATCCGTATCGAGATAGATCAATCCACCTCGGATCAACAAAAAAAATGCTCTTATTGCCGCAATGAAGGTCATCATAGGGAGACATGTCCATATCGTCAATAATTTTTTGTTCAATCTTACCTTTTTGTAATCCTTTCATCAATTAATAAAATAATATCACTATTGTTTATAAATTTTGTTTTAGGACTTTAATTTGTTTTTAGACTAAATTAATGATCATTTAAATTTGTTTTTTGTCTAAAACAATCATGTAATCAACATTGACAAAGATTGAGATTAAAAATAATTAAAGAATAATAACATAGATATATGGTACACTAGTATGCCAATGTAATTAACAAACAATACTTACATAGATGGTCAAGAACTAAAGAAACTTTATATTTTAACACTAAAACCCTTTGGTAATTGATTACAACGGTGTTGTAATCGACTACCAAAGATTTTTGTCCATTTACATTGCTGGTAATCGATTACAAGAAAGGTGTAATCGATTACAGGTGAATTCGTGCCCTCCTACAAGAACTCAACACAATGTAATCGATTACCAGGGCCTAAAATCGTTTTGGGGGTGCACGATTTCACCTTTGACCACTGTGTCAAGGTAAAGTCATGCAAGGGGCATGACTTCTTCATTTGAAGTTGTTTAGGCCCTTCACGACTTGCCTAAATGCGTAATTTTTAAAATTTTTGTCTATATACGTAAAATCCTTTTGATTTTTAAAAAAACCTTAATTTTAAGATAATCTTTACAACTGTTTTATGTTATGAAATATGTTATTTAATACTTAAGACATGCTGGGGTGTTTTTTTTTTGGTTATTTACTTTTTTGTCTTCTTTCCTTCACATACATTGTATATATTATGATACAAAATGTTTCACAAAACCCTTGATTTGTAAGATGCTATTATGATAGAAGAGAGTTTATAGCTTGATTGTTTACCTATTCTTCCGTAGCGTCTAAGAGAAGTAGCTTTAAAGGGAAGGTGTGTCTAATGATGAGCATGTGTGTTAAATGTTTTCTTTTCAGGTATATGCTACAGTTGTACATAGAATGCTTCTAGACCTAATACACTAAGCACACATATTTTATATTGGTTCACTCAATTGAGCTACGTCCAATTTTCCTTTGAGATATCTTAGAAGGTTCTACTAGATTTTCAATGAAGTACATATAAGTATTTTCACCACTTCAAGTTACATTAGTTATACTCAGTAACCCCCGTTACCGTGACTAGAATAAGTACCACATACTCCCGGTATCCCTAGACGCTCCCGGTATCTTCTCGATACACTATCTAGTTGAGTTTAACCCATTTCTAGTTATTCTAGTCAACCAAGTAACCTCCATTACTGTGACTACAGCCGAGTTTTACTCACTTCTGGTTGTGCAATATTCTTCACGACTCTTGGTATCTTCCTGATATACTGTCTAGTTGAGTTTGACCCACTCTTGATTTCCACTACACAAACCTGTATAGCTACCGTTTAACCCCACCGAGTTAAGTGTTAAGTGTTTGAATTCTCTTCAGAATTTGCAATCAAGAAGATCGCTTACAAGTCATTAGATGATTACTCTCACAAAGAAGATTTGCTTACAATACAATTCAATTTAACAGACTTATGAAATTTTCTCTCTTCTTACAAAAGTAAGTTTCTAACTCTAAACAACTCTTAGAGTATTCTTGATCTTTCCATGAGGATGATTTTTAGTTATATTCCTTTTGTGCCTGTATTCTTGATCTTCTTGTTCAAAGATCTTCTATTTATAAGTTTTTTGAGAATTTAGTCGTTAGACGATGTTTGTCATTTATTTTCAACTCTTTGTAGCCTTTATCATAGGTGGTTGTCATAGGTTGAGGTCAACTTGTTAGAGCAGACTTATTTTTGTAGTACTTTGTCAAAAGTAGATTGTACGGTCTCTTTGGCGTGACTTTTGACGAGAAGATCATTCCACAAATGTCTTCTTTGTCTCTAATGTCCATTTCTTACTTGTGTTTGATAAAACATATGGATACTTGACTTAGATAATCTACACAAAGTAAAGTAGACATGTGTATAAGCATATATTTCCTTTTTCCTTTCACTTTTGTTGTTTTGAGACATTGTGCATTTAATGACATTTAATCCGCGTTCAAAAGAACTATAAGCATTTTAAATTTTTATTGCTCAATCAACATTTGATCATTTAAGCATTCTAGAGCAAATACCACGCAGTTCATGAGAGTTTCATCGTCAGATGAAAACTTTGTTTAGCATAGGGTATCATTTAGCCTATGAAAGACTTTTCCTAACAACGCCTTGTTTAATAAGTACTCGTTTAATTCAAGAGCGCATTTAAAGAGATATTTTTCAACATGTGTTTTTGGACAATGTTTGTACTTTTTAGCGTGTTTACTAAAAACATCATTTTATAAATCATAGTGAGAGCTTGTGTAGCTTTGTTTAGCAAAGTATATCACGAGTGTATTTAGCGAGACTCTCATACAGCACATTGACGCATTTAGTAGGAAAACTGTTTAGTAGTGTGTCTACTTATGTACTACTGCGTTTACTAAATATTTTTCTTTCATAGGAGACCGTTTTATTTAGCGGTATGAGATATAAAAAGGTAATACTTTGTTAATCATCTATGTCGTTCATAGTATTATTTATTAGTCCTTAAACCTTGTGAAGATGTTAGACGATCTTGATCTTGTCTTAGTAACTTCTTTTCTTCTTATAATACTGATTTTTTTTGCAACACTAATCATTTTTGTATTATGTCTCTTTTTAGAAATGAAGTGTTTGCCTTTTAGACTAAAGATGTATTCTTTTATTTTACGCATATTTTCTTTGAACAATACTCGTTTCAAGGCATGTGTTACTTGATCGATTCTTGTGCTCAATGTTTTGTTAGTTTTACTTGGACATTTTTATGCTTATTGCTTTGTAATTGTATATTTTTAGGCATAGTATGTGTAGACGTCTTTTATACTCCTATGTTATTTCAACTTATCTCTTTTGTTGTTTAACACCTAGATGTAACCTTGATTAGGCTTAACGCATAGACGCTTCTAATTTTAGACGTTTTTCTTTGTGACATCCTTTTCATGCTAGGTGGGTAACTAGATGATTTAGTGATCTCTATTTACTAGTGTTTAGCTGTTTTATCTTTTACAAGCATACGAGAATGTAATTTTGTTTTGTGTCTATTTTCTAGTGTTTGGTCATTTTATATTTTACAATCATAAGAGAATGTAATTTTGTTTTTTGTTTCTATGCTCTTCTATATTTTTAGATATTTGATTACCCAAAATTATTTTGTTTAATGTTGTTTGTTATACTTCAAAACTATAGATGCTTTAGAAGATCCTAAACTTTTTCTTAAACAATCTTGTCTTAACACCAGTTAGCCACCTCTAACCGTCAGATCGATACAAATCTAACGACTCATGACATTTGACCCTTTAAATTCCTACAAATACACAATTCAAAGCGTCATGTGTCCCGTCCTCAAGAGTCATATCTTTATGTAGACAGAAAGATTATCAACCACTACGGATGACTAAGGAATGTAACCACTAGTGAACGGATCAGGCAAGGGGACTTAATCCTATTACAAACCCTTCGCCCACCATTGTAGGATGGGACTGAGGGTGCCTGTGTACGGTATGACATTTGGTCAGTCATAGGCTAGACGGTCCATCGTTGGTGAGGAGCATAGAAGAACCATTACCAAGATCTAACAATTGAGGAACCTAGCCAATCGATCATTCGTCAAGTTAATTGACCATTGCTAAACCTACTTATTTGTAAAATATGATTACCCACAATTGAGTTGTAATTAGGCCACTATTAATCAAAAAGTTTACTCTGAAATCTATAAATACAAATTTAAAGTAAGTAGATAAGTGATTATGCATTTATTGCACTGTTAATACCTAAGTTATTGAATTTTTAGTGACTTTGACATCAAAATACTTTTAACAAGTAATCTTCTCTAGGTAACACGTAACAATGATACGAAGATTTGAAAAAAAAATGGCACTCAAACATAATTTATGCAAAACATGCTAAAAATATATTTATTGAAGGAAATTAATATTTACTTAAAAAGACAACACGGTGAGTTACGTATATTTATAAAATTAATTTAAGGTATAAATGGTTTAGATTGAAAAAACGAAATATTTACTAGTCTCATTAAAAGAATCTATAAATCAAATTTATTTGGTTAATTGAAATTCTTCGGAAAAGCATACCAAACCAAATTATGTAAAAATATATAACAAATATTTACGCGATCAGGACAACTGTTTAGAAATTGTGATAAAACTCAATATTTTAGAACTTTCATTTTTCAAATATATATATATATATATATATATATATATATATATATATATATATATAACAAAGTTACTATTTTACTTTCATTTTCTTAAAAAAAGTAATAATTATAGAATTTTTTATTAAAATAATTATATATAAAGCAAGAATATATTTATTCTCACTTATTTTAGTATTATATATATATATATATATATATAAGTAATGTGAATGTGAATTGCAAATAATGAAATATTCATTGAGCATTTGAATAGAAGTACTTCTACAACAAACTACCAACTAATAGTTTACGCTCCCTCTCCAAAAGTAGCGTTTTGTAAAAGCTAATATATGGAAAACATTTTTTTTCTTGTAACACATATTTTCACATTAAATTTTTAGTTTTAAAACTGTAGTTTAGTTTTTGCATGTCTGATTAGATCGGAGAGGTAGGGGTCAACAAGCGGCAGAAGGTTGAGGGGAGTGCGGTGGGACTTTAGCGGACAAAGTGGCGGCGGCGGAAGGCAGTTTGTCGGCGGTGGTGGTAACGCGCTCACAGCGGGGACACATGGTTAATGTGGAGGCTGGCAGCGGCTCACAAGAGTGTGGGGAAATGACGGTGGGTGGCCCCACCTTCATGGCCCTCAGTTCCTCCACTTCCCTCTGAAGCCTTCTGTTCTGCTCTGTCAGTGACCCAAACCACCTCTTCAGGTACTCACACTCCATCTCTGTCTGCTTCAGCTTGCTCCTGCATTGCATTCTTGTAAAAATTCTCTTTTTCTTTTTTTCTTTATAATTATTAATATAAAAATACTCATTCACTACAAATATTTATTCATTAACTGCATCACATATATTGCATGGTTGACGACACTGGCTTCGTTTGCCTTTAATGCTTCCCAAGTCAACTCAGTGGGGAATGTTCTGTCTATCTTTTAAAGGATGACAAAAAAAACCTAACAACTATTGTAAACATATTGGTAAAAGAATTAAAAATAACATTGTAAAATTAATATATATTGATGTATTTCCCTTTCTTTATAAATAAAATCTCTGAATTTATTTTTACTCGATACTCTTGTGTATCTAAGTAAACATGGAGAAAGTGAGCGAAGAGGATTACTGAAATGAAAAATCCTATGGTTTTATGTGTACGTGTTGATGATAACTGAATGCATTATGCTCAACACTGATAATTGATTTGTAAAATGAAATGCATGGTTGGTCTAAAGTACCAAATGAAGTGGTCAAAGTCATACTTATTGGTGTTATGATCGGTGTAGCACACGAGGCCAAATAAAACTCCACCAATGCGGTGCTATCATTATCGACTTGTCTACTTTAATTTGGACAACATGATTATGTTCTTTGCCACAGCTGAAATTATGGTTTACACTGCAATTACATCATTAACTGTTCATATATTTGAACACCCAGTTAGCCACTCTCATGTCATTGCTGTCACTTCATGACCTAATTTTTTTTTATTGTATCATTACCAATTTTCTAGTTTACGTTTTCTATGTGTATTTATAGTTTTGTCACATTTGAAACTTAAAATACTAGATTTTAAAATAACAATTCAAAAACATTTTACAAAGGAAGTGTAAACAAGTTTAAAACCAAAAATTTGGAACGAGCTTTGAAAAGAAATATTTGTTACAAACAAAAACCAAAAGAAATATTCATTTATAGGCACCATGCATTATATATAAACTAAGATATACCGCTAATATATATATATATATATAATATAAACTAAGATTTTTCCCATGATCAACTGTTTTTCGGAGTATTTGTTGAATTTAAAAATTTTAAAATATGAATTTAAGTTTAACTTAATTCTACAATTGTAAAATAGAATGTAATATGACTAAAAAAAAAGTTAGGACTTAATCTTGATCGAACTATTTGAGCGATGTTTATACCCAGCGAACACTCCATTTCTTCCACCTTATGACCAATATTTGTGAATGAGAAATTATATGAAAGAAGTGAATCTAATATATAAATGATGATTTTTCCACTTTTATTTACAGATAGAGTGAACAGGGGTAAAGAATCGGATTCAGATTCATGAGGTCCATATGATGATTATGATTATTCTGTCAACATTTGACATTTGTCTATATATTAGTATACCCACACAAAATGCGGATGATGAAACTATATATATTTTAAAGTCAAATCATAAATGAGAAAATAAATAAATCGCATTTTTCCATCACTTTATTAATTAAGATTAATTAGCTTACCTGGCCCTACGGTTCTGAAACCACACCTCCACTTGCCTTGGTCGCAGCTTCAGTTGCATTGCCAAAGACTCTTTTTGTTTCTACAAAGCCAAGAAATCAAAAACCGAATATACTTATTACTGAGTTATGTAGAACCCTAATGATTAATTATCTAAATGACATATTTAATAAACTCACTGGGTTTAGGGTGTGGTTTTGTCTGAAGCTTTCTTCAAGGAGACGAGATTGTTCCTTTGTGAGACGGAGTTTCTTGCGAGGAGGGTCTCCATTGCTGCTTTCTTCTTCATCTTCCATGTTTGATGCCATCCAATCTTCTTCTACAGGTACTTGGTTTATGTCCAATTCTTTCACTGCAATACCAAACGCTGCCTTTATTCATATACTTCCAAAAAGTATCAAAGACCAAACCAAACATATCATCTTCTGTACACGATCCAATATATACCATTTTAAGAACAAGATTCGAAATATGATGTTTACAGGTATCGTTGCTGTTTAATCACCAACCAGAGAGAGAGAGATGAAAGACAAAAACCTTGGTGGGTTCATGCGGTCGTGACTTTAATTTTAATCTAAGAAAGGGTAGAGAAAAAAAAAGTAAATTATCCCTTCCTAAAGAAAACGTTTATTTAACAGAGGGGCCGCTTTTACGATATACACAACTGTACAAGTTTAAAAAAAAAAAGCAAAAGAGTTTAACATAAAATTAAACAAACAAGAACACAAAAAAGGGAAGGAATTTAAGAGGGTATAATGAGTTGATCAAAATGAGAAAGACGAAGAAAAGAATGATATAGTTGTAGAAAAAGATAAACAACCAAATTAACAGATAAACTATTGTATTGTATGTGTGTGTGTGTTTGGTAATTACCAGATGATGAAGGCAGAAGAGTTGGTGAAGAAGCAAAGCCGGGGACAGATATAGTCAATTCCAAGGTGGAGGAAGCACTTGGTAAAACCGCCATAGAAGACGCGCAGAAAATAATGAGAAAAAATGTTTGGTGACGATGAAGATGAAGATGAAGAAGAAGAGGAAGAGGATCTGTGTGAAAAAGGAGAGAAAAAAAGGTAAAGTCGAGAAACAGAAGGAGACACACATGAAAAGGAAAAGGAAAAGGAAGACAGAAGCAGCAAAGGATCTGATGAAATGTTTGGAGAGAAAAAAGGTCAAGATATATAGAAAGGTCAAACAAACAAATATAGGGAGATTAATTAGTCGTACAAGTTTATTATAATTAATACCCTAAAAGGCGCATAGAAAATCAAAGAGAGGTTTCCATAGGAAAAAGTTATATCAAGAGGTGTAGGTTTCTGACCATGGTCCTCCAAGTCAAAGGCTATGTGGCCCCAACATACCGACACGTGTAGTTGTGTAAGACTACAACATCAACCTCCACAGTCATCTTCATGTTATGATAGCTTTTATCTTATACACCCAGAATTGTTCGTGTTTTTCGTTTACGTTATACAATTATAAAGTAATTTTAGAGACATGTAATCCTTAAAATAAATAAATTTTCTAAATTTGTTTATATACACTATTAGAAACCCAACATTAATTCTAACTTTTACTCCTTTGTATTTAAGAAACTCGTTTATCTATCAGATGTGAATTGAATTTCAACGTGTTGATTTTTAATTATTATCAGACCTATTTACAGTAGTAGGTGGATGAAATCTCATTTTATAACTTCATTTTATACGATTATTAAGTTTAAAATTTATTTTTTTAATATTATATTAAAAAGTTATTATCTAGAGTCTATTTTATTAAAATTTATTAGTAGTTATTTAGAGTTTGTTTTAATAAAATTTGTTAATAGACTGTTACTTATATAAATAATTTCAAAATTACTTTTTAAATTATTTTTTGTATAATTTAATTTGACTTAAATTTACTTTGCATGTAGTACAATTAATTATAATCTCTAAAATTATCTTTTTCAAATATAATATATCAAGTAGTAACCTACTTCCTGTAAAAAAAAGTAACCTACAACGTTATAATTAGCATTTGGTCAAACTTTGGGAGTCCACATACATACATATATATATACATACATACATATATATATATATACATACATATATATATATATATATATATATATATAACTTTTTCCTGGCAGTTTGTAACTCAGCAGAATCATTTTCGTAAAAAAAAAAAGAGAAATGTAAAATATTCTCCAAAAAAACCAGTCCCAAAGAATTTAGTAGTGGCAGTGGATTATTCAACCAAATTCTTTTCGCACATCAATTTCAAGTGTGGATTGGCAGATTTGCCTTGTCATCAGAAAAGTTTAGTTTCTTCTTGCCGATAAAAAAAAAAAAATTCAATGGAAATTAGTAATTTGTATCTCTTCAACGGAGGGTTAACAATTTAAAAGTTTTCAAAAGAATCAAACTAAATCATTTTTAAGAAAAATGATGCAAGGCTTACAAACATGTTTATTCATTTAAATTTTACATCCGGGTTTTACTTATTAATTTAATTTTTATTTAATGATTTAAAAAAGAATGCATTAATAGATAACAGTAATGTTTAGTAATAAAAAACAGCTCTTCAAATGTATTGTACTATAATAATAAAAACTTATTTCCTCTTTAGAGTTTTGGGATCTTGAACCATTTCTTTCACACATAAATCCTTGATAGTGAAGATTTTACTGTTTTGAGCATCCAAAATACACTTCAAAGAAAACTTAATGATTAGTTTAAAAACATATCAAAATACAAAGAATGCGTCCATAATATCATTAACACTTCAACTCTAAATATGATTTCTAATGAGAATGATGCTACCTGTTGACCCATTTCTCAGTGAATGCTTTTTAGGAATTGTTATTTATTTAATCAATTAAAAATTTAAATAGGAATGCCGAATTCTATTTTTTCACTATTTAAACATCAGACCAACATAAAAAAAATGGTAGTGTTTAATTTACTTTTTATAACAAAAACATTAAGCCACAACACCACACATAAAATAATATTATATTTCTATTTGTGTTTGTCATAATTTAAAAAGGAAATCAAGAATAAATATTATATCCAAACTACTACTCTTTCTCTGTATTCAAATATAAACTAAAATAATCAATTTTATTATTATACTTGAGAAAATTAGTACCATAATTTTATTTAAGTTTCTTTTAAAAAATAGAATACCATTTTGTTGAAATATTGTGTTAAAAGGATAGGTAGAAGGTAGTAGTAGGGTTTTGATGTCGGTTGAAAGTTCTTGTTAGGAAATGATTGGAATGTCCTAGCTATAGGACCATTGAGCTTTCTTCAACAAGGACCAACCAATATGTATCATTGGCCCCATTAAAACAAACCAACATAGACAAACTTGTTTTCACTTTTCTGTCTTTACTCTTCCTAATCATCCTCATCACACACCCACAACACTGCTATTATATTATTTCACCACTTTCATACATATTTTGTACTCCTCCCAATAAATACCACGTTAGTATCTCCATTAAATATTAAACATTAAAAGATAAATATTTCAAGCGCAAGTTTATTAATTATATATATATATAAACAAAAAAAAATGTATAACTAAGATTTGTAATATTGCATTAAGGTTATGACACACCGTTACTTTGATATTATATTTCCATTCAACAACCGAAACCTATCTAAAACAAAGGAAAAAAAATAAATTTTCTATTTCGGTTTTGAATCATAACTTAAATTTTCATATTAAGTTTCAATTATGAAAGAAACAGAAGCATAAAAAAATATGGAAATAATGGTAACAAAAATATTAGGCTTTAATTATTATCAGAAGCAAAGCCTAATATCTTCTTTACGGTTCAATTTTTGAAATAATCAAATTTTAATGTAGTCTTTTTTAAATGATATTTTTGTTTTTTTTTCTATCTACATATCAAATCTATCTATATAAAACCAAAACCAACACACAAAATATATACAAGTTTTACATATACTATTGTACTTTTATATACACAAAATCTAAATAATTTTTAAAAAATGTTGATAACATACTATTCAACATTTCTATTATATATCTTGAGTAAATTTTTCTTATATATTTTATGGACTTCTCATGTATTGGTGTAGGATTCTCAAATTTTTGCCAAAAAATAATAATTTTAATTAGTTTTTAAAAAGATAAAGTGACAAAGTACTTGATTCAATTAAATTCTTACTGTTTCCCAATAGGGAATGAACAAAGTTATTATTCATTACATAACATATGGAGGTTTCACATTCAATAAGGAGTAGTGTGGAAGGTCAAAGTCGTCTTTGCCGTTTGCACTAAGAGGAGAATGAGGAGAATCGTGCAGCGTGAATGGAAGAACAAAATGAAAAGAGAGAGATGAAGGAAATGAACAAGTGGCATAGATGTTTCATGCAATAAGAGATAGAAACGAAGAAGAAGAAGTGAAAATGGGATTTGCATTCTTGAGTAGAGAATAAAAATGGAGGAGATGATGAGTTTGGTAGAGACACATTTAAATTGTGGGGGTGTAATTTCACTTAAGTTTTAACCCTAATAAGGGAATAGACTTCGGTTCTTTGTAAAACTGAAACTTATTTGAAATAAGTTTCAATTATTAGTAGTATTAAAACCTATTCACCTACTTTAGAAATAAAAGATAAAAATAAAAGTAGAATTTTGTGGAATCATTTATGCTTTGATATTTTGAGATAATCAAAGTCTATTCTAGTATAAACTTGTTTTCTTAGTAGAATGAAGTCTATTATCTTGCTTCAACAATAAAAATAAAAAATAAAAATAAAAATAAAAATAACATTTTGAAAATTTATAGGATTATTTATTCTTTTTTTCTTATATAATTGAACTCATAGGCCTGACATTTGATTAACTGAACCCATAGGCCTGACATTTGATTTTAGGCTCATAATTTTAAAAATATCATCACATTTTTAAAGTCTTTGAGTTTCTTGAAACTAAAACATATTAGACAATTTAGAATGTGTTTTCTTTTCCTTTTAAATGTGCATTTTACTTATTGTATGAATTGTGTCCATATTTACAATATTATTATTATTGTTTAGTAGGCCCAAAATAGCCTAATAAGTGAAGATCCATGTATACTATCCACATGATACACTAGTTATCCTAGAATAATAGAAATATAATACAATAACAAAACTTTTTCATTATGTTTATATATTATTCTTAGGCCTAAAAAGACTATAACTATATGACACCTCAGAAAGTATCACATCTCATAATTACTTTTACTCATACATGGTAGACTTTTTACTCTTAGTAATTCAAAACTCGATCACCTCATAGTGCTTAACTAAATTTGGTAATAACACTTACTATTTTCATAATTAACCAAGTTTTCATATCGCATTCATCTCAATAACATTATTTTTTTCTATCTTTTTTCATATGTTTTATTTTTCAATCTGAATTTCTATGTCTAAATATTATATATATAATAATAATAATAATAATAATAATAATAATTTGTATATTGGAAATATGACGATTTTATGAAAGAAAAAGTAATATATCCTAGATAATAGGCATATTAAAATAGTAACAAAATATAATGAGCAGACTACATATGTAAACAGTTTTCTTTAACAAGTGGTCATTATTAAAAAGTTGGAGTCTGGTATAAAAGGATATTCAATATTATGTAGAAACTAACTAGTTCTAGTGTGAATGAGAAGTCGAAAAACAAAAGAAAATGGTTTTTGTTGGGTGATTGGTTTGATATTTTTGTGTGAATTAGTATAAGATATGATATGATTTGATGGATGTTTAAATTGACAATGGTCCTTGATTCATGGGCAAAAAGTTGTCAAATTGGAAATGTAAATGGTAATTTCACAATGGAAAGTAAGTGACTATTTTGGAAATGGTTAGAATAATAAGGAATTAGTAAATGCATGATGAACTGTTTACAGGTAATGGAGAGCGTTAACGCTCAATTCCTTGCATTTTTTTATTCATAATCATTTATTGATTCAACTATGGAGTTTGTAATCATTCATTTATTTGAGCTTTTTTCGGCATGGACTATACGTGTATCACTGTACCACTGCTGTAATCCATAAAGCATCAGTTAAATGTTTTTGAAACTCTATAAAATGTTTTTGAAAAAAAAAACATCTATTCTAAAAATCATTTATTTAACAAATATATATGATTTACTAATTAAATAATAAATTTT